CTTTGGAGGCTGAGGTGGGAGGATCGCTTGATCCCCGAAGGTCAAGGCCGCAGTGAGCTATGATTGCCGGTCTGCCCTCCAGCGTGGGGGACAGAGCAAGACCCTGTCTCAGAAAAAAAGTTATTCGGAGCCAGGCCCCGGGAGTTTCTAGATCTGCCCTACAACTGGCCATCATGCCCCTCTCGCAGGTTTTGGGACCCTGGCCCAGCCGCGGACCCCCTGACCGACCTGCGCTATGTGTGGGGTGGCTTCGTGTACCTGCAGGATCTGGTGGAGCGCGCAGCGGTCCGCGTGCTCAGCGGCGCCACCCCCCGGGCCGGCCTCTACCTGCAGCAGATGCCCTACCCGTGCTACGTGGATGATGTGTGAGCTCTGGCACTCCTCCCCGCTCTTTGCAGCAGCGGGAAGACCCCGGGTGTGGGGGTGGGCCCGGGCTCTGTTGGGAGCATTCACGCAGTCCGGACTGCCACCATTGTGGCTTTGCAGCACTCCATGTGACCTGCTTCAGCAGGAGGGGCAGGGGTCTCTGAGGGCCTGGGGTCTTGCGGCACAGGGATAGCCTGGCCTGCGCTGGTGCCTGGGTGCCCGAAGCTGGCTGGATCAGGGTCCGAGGAACAGGGAGGCCAGTCTTCCCACCTTGAGATCCCCAGACATGAACCCGTCGTGCCAGATGGTGGGAGAGGGCTCTGTGCAGGGTCTCCGGCCTCCACCCCAGCCATCCCCACCCCAGGTTCCTGCGTGTGCTGAGCCGGTCGCTGCCGCTCTTCCTGACGCTGGCCTGGATCTACTCCGTAACGCTGACTGTGAAGGCCGTGGTGCGGGAGAAGGAGACGCGGCTGCGGGATACCATGCGCGCCATGGGGCTCAGCCGTGCGGTGCTCTGGCTGGGCTGGTTCCTCAGCTGCCTCGGGCCCTTTCTGCTCAGCGCTGCTCTGCTGGTTCTGGTGCTCAAGGTGGGCGCGCCTGGGCTGGCCCAGCTGCAGAATATGGGTGCGTGGAGGGAGGCCGGCAGGTGCAGCCCAGTGTGGGTGCGCACCCCTGGGCCAATCCAGGAGCCGGACCCGAAGCTCCCGTCGCCTCCCACAGCTGGGGGACATCCTCCCCTACAGCGACCCAGGTGTAGTCTTCCTGTTCTTGGCGGCCTTCGCGGTGGCCACGGTGGTCCAGAGCTTCCTGTTCAGCGCCTTTTTCTCCCGCGCCAACCTGGCTGCAGCCTGCGGCGGCCTGGCCTACTTCTCCCTATACCTGCCCTACGTGCTGTGTGTGGCGTGGCGGGACCGGCTGCCCGCGGGGGGCCGCGTGGCCGCGGTGAGAGCTGGGATCTGGCATGGGTTGGGGATGCCCCCCCCGCCCCAACCCTTGGCCACTCACTGACTGTAACTTCCCCGCAGAGCCTGCTGTCGCCCGTGGCCTTCGGCTTTGGCTGCGAGAGCCTGGCGCTGCTGGAGGAGCAGGGTGAGGGCGCACAGTGGCACAACGCGGGCACCCGGCCCACGGCAGACGTCTTCAGCCTGGCCCAGGTCTCGGGCCTTCTGCTGCTGGACGCAGTGCTCTACGGCCTTGCCACCTGGTACCTGGAAGCTGTGTGCCCAGGTAGAACGCACCAGCTGCGCCGAAGGCTGGGCTAGGGGCGTGGCCTCCAGGCCATTCGGGAGGCTGGGTTGGGGGCGTGGCCTCCAGGCCATTCGGGAGGCTGGGTTGGGGGCGTGGCCTCCAGGCCATTCGGGAGGCTGGGTTGGGGGCGTGGCCTCCAGGCCATTCGGGAGGCTGGGTTAGGGGCGTGGCCTCCAGGCCATCTGGTACCGGGATGCTTATTTCCTTGGCGAGAAGGTGGGGGTTCCTGGCACACGCGTGCAGATGGCTGCATTGGAGGGGTGGGGCCTGAAGCAGGTGGGCGGGGTTTCTTGTCCTCGTACTTGTACGCCCTGATCCCAGGTGTGTGGCCAGAAGCTGGCACGGTCGCTGGGTGCTGTGGCGCATGCTTGTAATCCCAGCAATTTGGGAGGCTGAGGCAGGAGAATCACTTGAACCCGGGAGGTGGAGGTTTCAGTAAGCTGAGATTGCGCCACTGCACTCCAGCCTGGGTGACAGAGCGAGACTGTCTCAAAAAAAAAAAAAAAAAAAATTGGTACGCTCCAGGGGGCTCAGCAATAACCATTGCCACTCCCCCAGGCCAGTATGGGATCCCTGAGCCATGGAACTTTCCCTTTCGGAGGAGCTACTGGTGTGGACCTCGGCACCCCAAGAGTCCAGCTCCTTGCCCAACCCCGCCGGACCCAAAGGGTGAGGACCCCACAAAGCTTAATAGCTGATTGCCCACTTAGACACCCAATTTCCCCCTAAAACGAGATTCTACAGATGCCAATGACCTGGATACCCCAAGCCTCAACCCTGCCATGAACACACTGCAGTCTCTAAGCTCCCCCAAATTTTAAATGCCCTGGCCCAGCCGGGCGTGGTGGCTTATGCCTGTAATCCCAGCACTTTGGGAGACTAAGGCAGGTAGATTATGAGGTCAGGAGTTCAAGACCAGCCTGGCCAAAATGATGAAACCCTGTCTCTACTAACAATACAAAAATCAGCCAGGCATGGTAGCAGGAGGGTGGAATCCCAGCTACTCGGGAGGCTGAGGCAAGAGAATCACTTGAACCAGGGCAGCAGAGGTTGCAGTGAGTGGAGATCAAGCCACTGCACTCCAGCCTGGTGACAGACCAGGACTCTTGTCTCAGAAAAAAAAAGCCCAGGCCCGCAGGACCCAGCAGGGACTTGCTGGCCCCGGGACCCCCATGACCTCCATGGCTGAGTCCGCCTGTCTCTGCAGTGCTGGTGGAAGAGGCGCCACCCGGCCTGAGTCCTGGGGTCTCTGTTCGTGGCCTGGAGAAGCGCTTTCCTGGCAGCCCACAGCCAGCCCTGCGGGGGCTCAGCCTAGACTTCTACCAGAACCACATCACCGCCTTCCTGGGCCACAACGGGGCTGGCAAGACCACCACGCTGTGAGCCCCCGACCACTCCCTCCCTTCCCCTGGGACTAAGCTTCCCCGGCCATTCAGCGGGATGGGCGTCACAAGGTTCCTGTATGTAGAATGGGGTGTATGATGGGTACACAGGCAGGCCACAAGTGTTTTCTCTGAGCCTGGGTTTCCCTCCTCTGTAAAATGAGGATATATAATCCCAACACTCTGGGAGGCTGAAGCGGGAGGATCTGTTGAGCTCAGGGTTTGAGACCAGACTGGGCAACACAGCAAAAGCCTGTCTCTACAAAAAATGCAAACATTAGCCAGGGGTGGCGGTGCACACCTGTAGTCCTGGCTACTTGCAGCAGGGGGACTGGCTGAACTTGGGAGGTGGAGGCTACAGTGAGCAGTAATATCACCACCATACTCTAGCCTGGGCAACAGAGTGAGACCCTGTCTCAGATAAATAGGCCGGGCATGGTGGCTCACGCCTGTAATCCCAGCACTTCGGGAGGCCAAGGCGGGAGGATTGCCTGAGGTCAGGAGTTTGAGACCAGCCTGGCCAACATGGCAAAACCCCGTCTGTACTAAAAATACAAAAATTAGCCGGGCATGATGGTGTGTGCCTATAATCCTCAGCTACGGAGGAGGCTGAGGCAGGAGAATTGCTTGAACCTGAGAGGCAGAGGTTGCGGTGAGCCGAGATTGTGCCATTGCACTCCAGCCTGGGTAACAGAACAAGGCTTTATCTCAAAGAAGTAAATAAAAACAAATAAAAATGAGGCTATCACAGGGCTTTGGCTGTGGCATTTAGTAGGTGCTCTGAACTGCCGGTGCACTCTCTGAAGGGGGCTGCTCTGAGACCCCTGTACCCACAGGTCCATCCTGAGCGGTCTCTTCCCACCCAGTGGTGGCTCTGCCTTCATCCTGGGCCACGACGTCCGCTCCAGCATGGCCGCCATCCGGCCCCACCTGGGCGTCTGTCCCCAGTACAACGTGCTGTTTGACATGTGCGTCTTGGCAGGCCCAGATTGCCGTGGTGGGAAGGGGCCGGGTGCCCTCTGGGAGGCTGCCTGCCGTGGGAGTCACTCGGCTCTGTACCCTGGCCGCAGGCTGACTGTGGGTGAGCACATCTGGTTCTATGGGCGGATGAAGGGTCTGAGTGCCGCTGCCGTGGGCCCTGAGCAGGACCGTCTGCTGCAGGACGTGGGGCTGGTCCCCAAGCGGAGTGTGCAGACTCGTCACCTCTCTGGTGAGCCCATCCCCTGGGGATGCCACCTCACAGGGAGGGGGACTGGGGATTCATCCCCAAGGCAGGGGGAAGCCGGGTACCGAGGTCCACGTGGGTAGACGGCCCTGCCCAAGGCTGGGTGTGACACACTGAGGTCCCCTCCCCATCTCCACCAGGTGGGATGCAACGGAAGCTGTCCGTGGCCATTGCCTTTGTGGGCGGCTCCCAAGTTGTTATCCTGGACGAGCCTACCGCAGGCGTGGATCCTGCTTCCCGCCGTGGCATTTGGGAGCTGCTGCTCAAATACCGAGAAGGTAAGAGCTGGGGATTCCGCTTGAGGGGCCAGAAAAGGTTTCTGACAAGGAGGTGCTGGGGATGGGGTTTTGAGGGTTGAGTAGGAGTTTAATACATGTGGACTCCACTTCCTGCTATGGCATTTAGGGTCTGCTGCTCAAATACTGAGACAGTAAGAGTTGGGGATAGCCAGAGTTTCCCCTGGATTCTGCTTGAGGGGCCAGAAAAGGTTTCCAACAAGGAGGTGCCAGGGATGAGGTTTTGAGGGATGCATAGGAGTTTGCTTCACAGGGCAGATGACTCCTGGCAGAGGCCCCAGCTCAGGCAAAGACCCGGTGGCCTGATGGTACTTGTGGGTTGGTCCCTCGTGCCTAGGTCGCACACTGATCCTCTCCACCCACCACCTGGATGAGGCAGAGCTGCTGGGAGACCGTGTGGCCGTGGTGGCGGGGGGCCGCTTGTGCTGCTGCGGCTCCCCGCTCTTCCTGCGCCGTCACCTGGGCTCCGGCTACTACCTGACGCTAGTGAAGGCCCGCCCGCCCCCAACCACCAGTGAGAAGGTGGGAACTGGCCTTCTCCTGACCTCTGACCCCCGGGCTCTGTTCAGCCCTGAAGGCCAAGCCACGTGGTGCCCCTCTGCCCGCAGGCTGACACTGACGTGGAGGGCGACGTGGACACCGGGCAGGGAAGGAAGAGCAACAGCCGGGGCGGCAGAGTCGGTGAGGACGGGGGCGGGAGACCCAGAGCGGGTGGGCAGTGGGGCCGCGGTGGCTTCACTCGGGAGAGAAGTGCCTGATAACGTCACCGCGGCCCCGTCCCTGGGCTCAGCCTGAACCGTGAGATGAAGTCGAACACTGACCCCAGAGACACACCTACCCCTGACTCCAGCCCTGGGTCAAGCGCTGCCCTCAAGTTCTTCGTTTGTTTGTTTTTGAGTCTTGCTCTGTCGCCCAGCCTGGAGCAGTGGTGCAATCTTGGCTCACCACATTCTCCGCCTCCTGGGTTCAAGCGTGTCTCCTGCCTCAGCCCCCTGAGTCGCTGGGACTACAGGTGTGCGCCACCATGCCCGGCTGATTTCCATAATTTTAGCAGAGATGGGGTTTCACCATGATGGCCAGGCTGGTCTTGAACTCCTGACCTCAGGTGATCCACCTGCCTCGGCCTCCCAAAGTGCTGGGATGACAGGCGTGAGCCACCGTGCCTGACATTTTTTGTTTGTTTGAGACGGAGTGTCACTCTCTGTTGCCCAGGCTGGAGTGCAGTGGTGTGCTCTTGGCTCGCTGCAACCTCTGCCTCCCTGATTCAAGCTTGTGAGTAGCTGGGATTATAGGCGCGTGCCCCCACACCCCGCTAATTTTTGTATTTTTGGTAGAGACAGGGTTTCATCATGTTGGTCAGGCTGGTCTCAAACTCCTGACCTCAAGTGATTCCCCCAGTTTGGCCTCCCAAGTGCTGGGATCATAGCTGTAAGCCACTGCACCTGGCCTGAGTTCTTAATCCTGACCTCTGCCTGCAGGGACCGTCCCCTCACGGGTCACCAATGCCTCTTCCCCAGGGAGACTGGGGTGGGGTGTGAGCTGGGGCTCCCTCAAGCACCCCTCTGTCCGTGCAGGCACCCCCCAGCTGCTGGCCCTGGTGCAGCACTGGGTACCTGAGGCACGGCTGGTGGAGGAGCTGCCACATGAGCTGGTGCTGGCGCTGCCCTACACGGGTGCCCACGACGGCAGCTTCGCCACGCTCTTCCAAGAGCTGGACACGAGGCTGACGGAGCTGAGGCTCACTGGCTACGGGATCTCCGACACCAGCGTCGAGGAGGTGTGAGGCCTGGGTGGTGGTGAGGTGGGGCCTGGAGGAGGGCTGCCCGGAGGAGGTGGTGTTATGAAGGATGTATAGGAGTGTGTTTATGGGTAGCAAGGACATTCAGGGAGGACTCATGGCACATGAGGAGCTGTGGTGGCTCAGACGTCCCTTGGGAAGGCTTGGGGTCCCACGGTGTCGGAGGGGTGGGAGGCTCATGAGCCCCCGGGTCGCCCTGTGGGTGTCCAGACTCTGAGCCCCTGCTTGTCTCCCCAGATCTTCCTGAAGGTGGTGGAGGACTGTACTGCAGACACAAATGGAGAGGGTGCGGCCGCTCCTCCCTGACCCCTGACCCCTGACCCCTGACCCCATCCCGGGCTGAGTCTGGCCCGTGGCATAGCCTTTACGCCATCCCTGATTCCTGATCCCCCAGTCAGTGACCCTCAGCTTTGACGCTGACCCCTGATGGCCCTGCAGATGGCAGCTGCGGGCAGCTCCCGGGCACGGGCATCACTGGCCTAGACGTGACCCTGCGCCTCAAGATGCCGCTGGAGGAGACGGCGCTGGAGAACGGGGAGCCGGGTGAGTCACCCCCCAGTGGCCCTGTGGTCCTCCCAGCCCAGCACAGAGCGTGAGGACTGACCCTGTCATCCCTCACAGCTGGGTCAGCACCAGAGACCCAGGCCCTGCAGGGCTCTGGGCCAGACACCGCGGGCCGGGTACAGGGCTGGGCACTGACCCGCCAGCAGCTCCAGGCCCTGCTTCTCAAGCGCTTTCTGCTTGCCCGCCGCAGCCGCCGTGGCCTGTTCGCGCAGGTGAGGGGGGCCAGCACCAGGGAGTCGCGTGGGAGTCCCTGAGTGCCTGTTCCCCACCCTGGCCGTCCACTCTGGCCTAATTCAAACGCTCCCCCCCCGTGTATTCCCAAGCCTGAGCACGTTTATTGAGGGCACTGGGGAGCCATGGGTGGTCGTAGGGCAGGAGCAGGGACAGGGGCAAGCCAGCCTGGAGGGTGGGTGGAAGCGGCAGCTGACGGGCTGGCCCCCCAGATCGTGCTGCCCGCCCTCTTTGTGGGCCTGGCCCTTGTGTTCAGCCTCATCGTGCCTCCTTTCGGGCACTACCCGGCTCTGCGGCTCAGTCCCGCCATGTACGGTGCCCAGGTGTCCTTCTTCAGGTGGGTGCAGAAGGAAGGGGCTGGTGGGAGGAGGACGATGGACCTGGGGCACAGCCCTGACCCTGCGTCTCCCCTCACGCACAGCGAGGACGCCCCGGGGGACCCCAGACGTGCCCGGCTGCTCGGGGCGCTGCTGGAGGAGGCAGGGCTGGAGGAGCCCTCCACGCAGAATAGCTCCAGCAGGTGAGGACACCTCGGTGACCTGGACCTTGCCCCTCTCTGGCCTCAGTTTTCCCATCTGGTCCCTGGTCAGGGGGCCTCAGGGGATGCCCACCTGGGACCTGGGAGCCTCTGTGTCTCCAGGAGCCCCCAGGAGCTGGGTGTCCACAGCCCCGCCCCTTGACCCCTCAGGGTCCCTGAGTGTGTCCAGCCAATCGTCTGCAGGTTCTCGGTGCCGGAAGTTCCTGTTGAAGTGGCCAAGGTCTTGGCCAGCGGCAACTGGACCCCAGAGTCTCCGTCCCCAGCCTGCCAATGTAGCCGGCCTGGCGCCCGGCGCCTGCTGCCCGACTGCCCGGCTGCAGCTGGCGGGTCCCCTCCGCCCCAGGCAGTGACCAGCTCTGGGGAAGTGGTTCAGAACCTCACAGGCCGGAACCTGTCTGACTTCCTGGTCAAGACGTACCCTCGCCTGGTGCGCCAGGGGTGAGCCATGCCCCAGGACTCAGTTTCCCTGGCTTTAGCTTGGGTCCTTGGGTTGGTGGGGGTGGTGTGGTCCTGGAGGAGGAGGTGGAGGGATAAGATGCCCAGCCGGGGCTCCAGGCGGAGGGTCTCATGTGCCTTCTGCTCTGCTCCCCTTTTTTTTTTTTTTT